ACAGTCGTCCCAAGCTATGCACGATAAAGGAACTATGCAAGATACAGGAATCGACGTCAAAAACATTGACTTTTCTACGATGCGTCCCATCTCATGGCGCAAAGTTGAGGCTGCACATTTTTCATAAATCTGCTGTTTTTTTTGTCTGCAGACTGTGCTATGGAACGCATGGAGCAATACCAGTCAGCGGTCAGCACGCGATTTAACACCACAATTGAGCGACATTATTGTACATTAGGCATGCTGATTACTATGATCCCATGCAAGCACCCAGGGAGTGCGCGACTTATCACAGATCCGAAATAATGAGCGAGTACGTAATCTCAACATTCATGCATAACTTTCTTTTCTTTAATGTGCATTAATGCAACGCAAGGTTTTAAAACAAAGAAAATGGCCAGGGATCTCACGCCGAAGAGTCGGCAATTCCTTCGCCGGGCTTACATTTTGTAGAGGTGTAGGCGCCGAGCGCCCAGCCGTCGGCGCGCCAGGCCGGTCCCAGCACCGTGGTCCGTCTCAATGTCCCTCCGACTGTACATACCTCTATATCTGTGATTGCTACTGTCCCCACGATTGTGATTATCTGTGCCTCCGACGGGGTTGGCGTTTTTAAAGGACCGCCCCCTATCAATCGCCCTGGCGTGCACGTCCGGAACGAGCGCCCGGGCCAAACGTGGCAAACAAAAACTGTACTCGCACACTGGAAAAAGCCTCATGTGGCCCGCGGCGGAAAGACACGCTGCGCTCCTCACAAACCTTTCTAAACAAAATACACAAACACAATTTTTACGTGACAAGATGTCTATAGACAAAATACCGATGCGATAAAACACAATTTTCAGTAGCAGTTTTCATCATGAGTTAATGCACTGAAAAGTGCATTAATCCATGAAAAGTTTCTGTGAATTTTTAGTGTATACTGAGTATACTGACAAGAAAAACATTATGGTCATGCAATTTGAGTTTCATGCAATAGGTAAAACACGTGTACCCAATTAACACTAAGCTTGCTACGTTAAACGAAAACGCCTGTAGATATTTATTCAGCCCACGCCTAAAGTTCACCTTCGTTCTAGGAAAATACTATGCCTGGTAATCGGCGACTAAATCGGTCCAGTGCGTTGCATGCTGACTGCACCACTATTGTTTAGATCGGTGCTGCGTGTGGCGAGGCAGGCTTTGAGGATCGTTTCATTCAATGACCATTCATCGTGGATCATGTTCAGGTATGCAAGCCCTGTAAACTCTGTAAGTACTGCAAGCAGCCTCAGTAAGTACTGCAAGCAGCCTCAGTAAGTACTGTAAGCTTTGTAACTACCGCACAGCTATGGACAGGGACGCTACAAGGATATAGGTAAAGGGTTCGATAGGAAGATATCAGGCGTAATACCTGTCCCTACAGGCATGCTCTTGCTTACAACTAGCCAATCGCAATGCTATCAAATTATGCACCTTTAAAGACATGTTTTAAATCTCTGCAAAACATTTCTGCCAAAAAAATTACTGACAAAAGATGTGGCGTAAGACAATGATCTCTGCCTACCTTTAAAAAAACTTTAGAAAGTTTTGTGCCTTAATCTGTCGTGAAAACGGCTAGTCCTACAACTTCAATACGACCTTATTCCCACACGACAAAACTTCGCCGGTCAAAACTTCGGAACAGTATTCTTCCTACACCGCAGAGTAGTTTGAGCCCAAATCCCCATACGATTTTACTTCTGCGGACGAAAGTTCTGCCTTTAATTTTCACACGCGACAAAATTGATGCGAAAAAAGCTTCTTTGCGATACAACCTCCAGGAAGAAAGCATCTCTGCAGCATAACTCCAACACGGTATAGCGTCTATAACAAAACTCTTGCGTGGTAAAGCTTTTTCGGAAAAAAGATTCTACATTCAAAACTTTTACGTCGCAAAGGCTTGTGCAGACAAAACTCAAACGTGACACATGGCTGCTGCCTGGATTGCATATTTCCTCGTCAGATAAAAGGTTCGAGGAGTTTTCATACACCCACAGCTATAATATGTGACTCCCCCCCCCCCCATACTAAAACCGCGTAATATTAAAGGAGACTAGGCTTCCAATTCATGTAGGATCCCCACCCATGATTGCCATGTCGTACGAAAGTGCGTGCCTTAGATCAAAGGGCTTGGTATGGGTCATACACGCAGAGTTTAGAATATCTAGTGCCTCCACTCCCCAACGCTGAAATCGCACAATGTTGGAGGAGACAGGACTTCCAACTCACGCAGGATCCCCACCTATGGTTGTCATATCGTACGACAGTGCGTGCCTTTAGCATAGCAATACGCACAAACCGTCATGGCCAAAAGTGCTGCCTATTACGTACGCCACGTGGAGCCTAGCAGCAAAGAACCTGACGATTCCAAAGGTCACCGAAAAATTGCGTCCGACAAGAAGTACACGAAAAGTCCAAATAGCGCCCTATCGTGATTCGCAACAGTGCTGTGGCGTACGAGTTCTGTCATCGGCACTTATGGGTTGTGGTTGTATAATATGCTTGTGTTAAAAATGGCGTGTGGAAGTTACGTCCTGCACAGCTTCGTCGTGTAGGAATAATGTGGCGTAGAAGGTTTGCTCGTGGAAGATTTATCGGCTAATAGTTTTGACTGTCGAAGGTGCGTGCTGTAAGCTATAACGTTAGAAATTTCGCCTGTATATTTATATATGGAAGCCCAATGCGTGCCAGTTGCGCCACATGGTAGTTTTGACACACCGAATGTTTGTGCGCGGAAGCTCGTTGCGTGGGAGCTGCGTCTGTGAAGGCTAGTTATGTCGCGTTTACTGAGGCACTGCGCCAGTTTTGTCGGCATCGGCATTCCGCAGTAATCGTTGGACGGTGTCACTGGTCGAACCATGACTGTGGAACTCAATTCGCATGCACCGTTACGGATAAGACAACGCCCCTAGGAAAGAAACGCATGAACAGGCCTTATTAACGTAGAGCTCCAAAACTAAACTGACGGCGACATGTAGTCTCCGCCCAGACAGGACCACCACACCCGCGGAAGAGCGCCCAGATCCCGCAATCGGCTAGCTCTAGACCTGGCCAGGCCAAGATTGCTCTGTCCTGCGGGCTGGTGCCTTACTGCCTGTGACCGCCACACTTGTGGCGACAGCTCCAAATGGATGCACGCGAGTCCAGCGTCGCCATCGGCAGCACCGGCACCCACAGCCAGGCATCGGTCAGGCCAGCAGCGGCGCGTCATCAGCGTCACGCTGAGCTGGGCGGCGCCGTTCCAGCGCAGCGACCAGCAGCTGGCGGCTGTCTCGGCCAGGCCCGCGCCGTACGCGCCCACGGCACGGCCAGGCTCGGGCCGTATATTTCCGGGGCACGGTCAGGCTCGGGCGGTACCTTCCCGCGGCACGGTCAGGCCCGGGCCGTACCCTCCCGCGGCACGGTCAGGCTTGGGCCGTACCCTCCTGTGGCATGGTCAGGCCCGGGTCGTACCCTCCCGTGGCACGGCCAAGCTTGGACCGTACCCTCCCGTGGCACGGTCAGGCCCGGGTCGTACCCTCCTGCGGCACGGCCAAGCTTGAGCCGTACCCTCCCGTGGCACGGTCAGGCTCGGGCCATACCCTTCCGCGGCACGGCCAGGCTTGGGCCGTGTCCTCCCGCGGCACGGCCAGGCTTGGGCCGTGCCCTCCCGCGGCACGGCCAACGGGCTGCCGCCAGACACCGTCCCATGGCGTTGCACATGTCCTGCATCCCTTGCGTGTAAGCCAACGTGTCCAACGTCCCAAGAGTGTGGGCCTGAGCAAGACCATGGCGACCGTGATCTTACTCAGGCCCACCAGCTGGTTGAAGTCCACCGGGAACTGGTCGGCCGCGATGGCGTAGGCGGTCGCAACAGAGCCGGCTGTGCGCGCTGCATGCAGCATGTAGTGGTGAAGGCACCGTCGCTGCCGGTGCGGACCAGTCGGTCGAGTGGCACCCCCAAGGACGTCGTCATTAAAATGCACGAAAGTTTAGTTGAGATCACGAGGTCGTCGTCCGTGGTTTGCAACCTGATGTGTCTCGGTTTCCCACGCCACATGCGTGCTGTTGGGATGCGACGCTAACGTTCATGACCCGGTTACATGTGTCATGTCATCGCGGAACCCTGTGCCGTAGACTGGGCGGTCAGGGCTGAATGTATTGGGCTGAGAGTGATCGGAAGCCGTCTCGCAATACGAGGTACGTGCGTGGATTATACATATCTCCTCGTCTTCTCTGAGAATGGTTTGTGTGCATGCACCCACACCTGCATTTGACAGAACGGTATTGGGCATATTGCAAGTCATATAAATGCTCCAGTTGCTAGGCCTCACGCGCTATGCACATGCTGCAGTGAAAATGATCACACTAAGTGACTACGACGTCTGGACGGTTCAAAATGTCTGCGAATGTGCAAAATGTGCGCAAATGGGACACGCATCCCACAAAGCATCTAGCACAAACTCCACCCGTGCCTGACTACCTAAGATCGAACGTTGATGGAGGAGCTTTGTTCGTCGTCGCAGCATGTTGTCCACTCGGGCTGTGCAACTCATAAACTATTACGTAGTGTCGTGGCCGGTAGTGGCTGACTGTTGTGCATCTGCCTTCCTGGCCTGACGGAACACGGCGCCCGAGGCCGAAGCCACGCCGACCGCCCGGGCCGGGTCGTGCCCTGCGCTGGGAGACAAGTCCCGTCCGTCCCCGCTTCCCAGCTGCAGGGCCACCACTCCGCGGACCCGGCCCCGCCCCGCCCCGCCGCGCCGTCTCCGGCGCCCATTGGCTGCCGCGGCGGCGGGGCGTGGCCGGCGCGCCGCGGGTTGTGCCGCGGCGACGGCTCGCCCGCCGAAGCCGGCGCAACTTACGAGAACGTCGCGGCCGGCGGAGCGCCGCGCGGGTCCAGTTGGGCGCGACGCGAGCGACGACGGCGGCGGCGGCGGCGGCGTGGACGGTACGAGAGGCGGCGGGCCCGGCGGCTGCCGGCGGACGGCCCCTCCAGCAGCATGGTGATGGACATGCGCAGCTGTCGCTACCCCGAGGGCCCGTACCAGCCGCTGCCGGCCGGCTACGCGCCGCTACGTGACGGCGCCGCCAGTCCCGGCTACGGCCAGACGTACCCGGCGTACGCGGGCCGCGGCGGCGCCGACAGCACGGCGCCGCCCTACAGCCCCGACACGTCGGACTACCCGCACGCCTTCAGCGAGGAGGAGCACGCCGAGCACGACGAGCACGTGCCGCACGTGCTGGCGCCGTCGGCGCACGGCCACGGCCAGCGTCGCTGCCTGCCCTGGGCGTGCAAGGCGTGCAAGCGCAAGTCGGTCACCATCGACCGAAGGAAGGCGGCGACGATGCGTGAGAGACGCCGGCTGAAGAAGGTGAGCAGGCGCTGGTGGCGTCGGGGCGCTCCGGACCGCTGTGTGGGGCCTCGCGACTGCCGCAGAGGTGCCGCGCGGCTGGTCGACAGAGTTCTGGACTCGGTAGAGGAGAGTCACTTTGGTGTGGCTGCACGTGCTGGTCTCAGAGGTGTGGTAGGGGGAGTCGTAAGCAGGTGAGGTGGATCTTCATCAAAACAGCGCGGAGATTACCGCAGCCTCAAGCCCGTAGCTGAACGAGCTTGTTCAGCATAAAGCGCACAAAGGCATCTTGATGTGTTTCCTTTCATGCACTGTCCTTAGACAAGCAAACGCAGTACTTTCGAGACAGAACAGTCGGGGAATGACACCCAATTAATTCCCGGGGAAACTTGCAGCTGCGATGTTTAGTCGTCCCTGCAAATGCGCACGTAGCTCTCATTTCCTCGTGGTGACTGACAGGGTCCTGAAGTTGTATCGTACGCTTCAATATCCGTGAGGCTTCCAGGACGCTCCTTCGTGAGAGCGGTCAGCACGTGCGCAGAATGTGGAGTTCTCCGTGATAAACTAAGCGGGCTGACGCATGCGATATCCTCGCACGCAGGGCGCACGATCCAAGTTTTGCCCCTAGGCGATCTAAGATGCTCTCAGGAAATGTTAACGGCCTCGCAGACATATCAATAGCATACGCATGCGTGTAAGTCGTTTCACAAGCCGTTCCTTGCCCGCTGTTTCCTCATAAGCACTCCTCTGCGTACATCCCTGTATGTTGTGCTAAGCTCTGCTGGAGGCAGTCAGGATTATCGAAAAGTCTGCCGGTGTTCCACAATGCGAGTGGTGCATTGCTTTCCACATGGTCATCGGACAGCAGCATATCGTGCGCGACGGGTAAATGGCCTTATCTCTTTGATTCCACGCTTGAACAAAGTTCGATCACCCATTCGGCACGAATGCGTCATAGCAGCCTGCCTCCCATCCTTCGATGCATGTCATGTGATAGAATTTGGCGGGCCAGACGAAGGTCCAAGATCTTTCCGCGCTTGCATTTGAAATGCCATCCAAATGTGCTTGATCGGCCGCGACTACATGAGCAGTAAAGTTGGTATTAAGAAACGGTTGTGAAACAAACAACGAAGCAAAATTGAAGACTATCTTGGAAAGGGTATCACAGAGATAGCCGATAGACATAGAAAAGAAGGATCAGCTGTTTCTTGCGAAATCAGTGTGGAGCTCAATGGACTCAAAATATGTAACTGTGTCCCACATCCCGCTAAGGCATTGTGGTAGGTTTATCGGTGTACTAGCCCTGAGCTGTTTACCGCATGACTGGATTATCGCTATCATCGTATAATGATGACGTCAAAAATGGTTACTTCCATCCTCTCCTTTGGATGTGAGGCAGTTCATCGTGCTGAATCAGTGATGCGCACACTGATACCACGCGGCATAGTGCCCGAGCCCGTGCAGTCCTTGTCTCGCAGCAACGATAGGGCATTTCAGTTCCGAGCATTCTTCAAATGGCTTACGCTGAATGAGCTACCATTCATTTGTAAATAAATGTACTTCTGCCCGCCCCCCCCCCCCCCCCCACTCCCCGACTTTGTGAACGGGCAGTGATAGGGAGGGGACTGAGAGGGGGCCAGGGAGGGAGGGGGGGCTGAGGGTGATTCCGATTCCATTCCAACACTCAAAAAAGCAGGAGGTCCAGGCTCTCACACGTCTATTGACGAACATATCAAAATGTATCTTTCCTGGCGAATGATATTAACAAAACACTGAGAGTTAGGTCCGGGGAAAGTTGAAAATAAAAGCAAAAACAAAAAAGCAGAGGGATAGGAACTCCCAAATCAGGCGGGTAGACCAAATTTAAAAGCAATTTCTTTCATGCACCACGCTGTAGTGTGCCAAAAAACTCCAACAAAAGTATGTTGGCCATTTCACTCCCCGCCTCGGCTCTACGCGCATGGGGCAAATCCCCTGATTTTCCTCATCCAACGCTGCCATTTTTGTCACGCTGGCATGTAAAACGGGGTGCTCTAAAAATAGGATTGCTGCCCTTCACCACGGCTGTAGTTTTGCTTGCGTCCTTCAAACGTTATCGGCTGCGTGCCCGTCGCCTGCAGTCTCACTGCACCTGCAGTCCCACTGCACCGCTCCGCCCTGCGCCAATTCAGCGTTCCGACAAATTACAGCAGACGACCGACAGATCGCCGTGCGCAACAATGGCGCGTCGCCGCCGGCCGGCCGGCTGGCAAACATGGCGGCGGCCACGACCGGAAGGAGGCAGACATCTGCCGAGCAGAGGCTCGGCCGTGCAGGCATTCGGGCGCCGTGCAGATGGGTGCGCTAAGCGTCACGCGGCTCGTGCAGGGGCGGACGGGGAACGGCGTGGGGCGTCTAGTCACGTGTCTCTAGCCGCCCATTGTGACGGGTCTGAGCGCGTTTAATGGCGTGGCCCATTGGCAAGTCAGGCGGTTGAATCCGTGCATTAGTCGGGGCATTGATGCATATCGTCTGCCTTTAGTGCCATTGTATAAATGAGATGTGCTCCCCACACTCGGATAGCGTTGTCAACTCCCTGCACGTAATGCCGAGCTATATACACACTTAAGGTGATATCTCAGTGCATTCACTTTCGTTTGTATATAGGTGCGCGGATTCTCTCGTCTTTATCTGAATATGTTGACTTTTAGCGCCTAAACTTAGACTCCAAAGCTTGTTAATGTGGCGAACGTTGGTCAACCAGCCCATGGTCAGCTTAAACAGCAAACGCTTCATTTTTTCGGAGAATGCGCTAACCTGAGGGGTCAGCTTAAACCCAGCACGCAAAGCAAATGTCTGTAGAAACGTATGGTAAAGGAGATATCAAGGCATATCGCTTTGCTTATGTACCTCACCCAGGTCTGAGCTGTCATGAACTCGTCATTGTGAACCTCTTACTTTGCCGACACCTTATTCGCGTGGATTCCCATTTATGACGAGACCAACAAACTTAAGCTCAGGCAATGTGGCATGAATTTTTTATCTTTTTCCTTTCACATTTACTTTTGTGAGCCAGCGCATTATTTGAGCAAAAGGACTCGGTGGACCAGATAAGGTGATACGGCGCTGCATGTTCCTGCTGCTGAAATCGATTATTGGCTTTTTTGGCCCCATAACCATCGTTCCTGCGTTTGATCGGGCCTCAACCTGATGTGTGCTGTGCATTGGGCGCTGGTCACTGAGAATCACGAGCATCGGCAACTGGCAGCGGTCGGCCCAACACAACGGGGTTGGAAGTTTGACTCCGTCCCTATCAAACGACATCAAGCGAAAGCATGACACCGTCGCGCTCACCGTGGGAATAGGTGCCGGTGAGGAGCCAAGCCTCTTGTGCCTTGGTAGCATGTTTAGCACTTACTTCACTACATTTAGATTTACCCTAGTGTGCTGCATGACAAATATAAAAAGAAAGTTTGATTGTGTTCCTCCACTTGTTGTGACGCTTCTGCACCCCTCGCTGGAGCTCAGCCGATACGTGCGGCATTTTGCATTGGTAACAAGGGAATCATCTATAGCCTGTATTCCCTTTAGCTTGCTATGCCTTCCTCTCAACACGACCTTGCATTGCAGTGACTGATAGCAGTTTCACTGGGTACATTCAAAGAGATGTCTCCTCATGCAAGGGCCAAACCTAATATATCATTGAGAAGCTGGTAAACTCGCTAGACTATGTAACCCTAGCCCAAATCCATAGCCCCTGGCATCCTGGTCACCACAGACTTGAACGCCGATCGTGACGCCGATTAAATATGTACTCACCGAGCTCCGGGAGCCTCCTTTAAAACAGCACCATTCCACATCTGTATTGGGTTTTGAACTGAAATGGCCATCTTGAGGTTATTCGGTGCAGTTTACAGCCCTGTGCTTCTTAACACCCGAGCCTTTTTAGTGTTTTAGCTGCGCGCCAGCGAAGATATGCAGATATTTTTGTGCAGGTTAATTCAAGGTGACCCACGCATCCATGACACCATAATAACGTCATTCAAATCCTGCCATCCAACTTTTGTCATTATGTAGGCCACACGGCGATCAAGGTCAAGGGAAGTGTAACTGTCGAGTCGTGCATATCTGGCGGTCGTGAGCACGACTGCCAGGTATAACGGCCATCAGTTGGCTCTCAATCAATATTGTGCAAGATACTATGACGCAACCAAACAATGGCGTATTTGGAAGCATAGCAACTAAGCAGAAGGAATTTTGCGGTCTACAGCAGCCTTTGCACTTGATAGTAAACAAATACTTATCAGTGGGCCTATTTCATCATATACGACGCTTGCTTTAATATCTTTACATGTGGAATATTGCCTTTAAGCGTAAATGGCCGTTTGTCGGCAGCGTCTTAGCACCACGAAGATTCACCGGTGCGTCCCGCCGTAAACCCCGTTATCTCCGCTAAACACTGAATGGACGTGCACTAGTCCGTCTCCCTGAAATAGGCCGTAGCATTGTTGAGATCGGCCCAGTCTGTGATCAGGGTCAGCAGGGTGTAGACGTGCGTGGGCCCAGCCGGTTTCCAGTTTCGCGCCCAGAGGAGGTTACATTACTTTCCTCCGAACCTAGCATTCCCCGCGTCCTGAAGGCCATCAGATCTTTGCTGCGTTCAATGTCCTAAAATCTGCGGTGATCATCCCTATGTGCTGACTGGGAACAAAACAAATAGCTGGTATGTTCTCTCTGGACTGGGACGAGCTGTCCTATGATATGCATGTCATGATTGAAACTGCACTTCAGAGCGTGCGACCAAAGCCTTCCCCACTTGTTCTGTTCTTGAATGATCACGCCATGGGCCCAAGTCTACTTCAGTCGTCATGACTTTGTATAGGTCAATAGCGTTAATCGCTCAAAGTACAGCCTTTTATTTCAATCAATTATCTTTCGTTCATCACATGACAGACGCCACCAAAACATTCCTGTCCACCTTCTTTAAAGTCATTTCTTAAGTGACGCAGCCGTATTCGTTTGACGTCTACGTCATGATTTGGACGGTGTCCCGGTTGGGATCTGTCAGGGTCAACAAGATGAATCTGAGAGCTTGATGCCGTCCGGCACTTCACCAACAGCACATGCAAGGTAAATTGAATTTACACTTGCAGCAGCAGACCTGTTCCAGAGGAGCATGAACGCAAAGAGATATGCAACAAAGCGAACGGAAGACCACAGTAGCAGTACCGATTGAGGCTGCGCGCCTCAACGACTGCCATGGCTATTTGAGACGGGATGTCTCATATTATAAGGCGCCATGTGGAATGCGCAAGCGGAAGCGAGGCCGGGACATCAGACGTGTAGATCACGTGTAGATCAGGGCCGGGCGGTTTGACTTCTACACCGCCACTGCTCTACGATAGGCAGGTCCAGAGCTGAGCGCTCCAACTTTTACACCGCCGCTCTACGATAGACAGGTCCAGATCCGAGCGCTCCAACTTATACACCACCACTTCTTTACGACAGACAGGTCCAGGGCCGAGCGCTCTAACTTCTACACCAGCGCTCCACGACAGACAGGTCCAGAGCCGAGCGCTCTAACTTCTACACCACCACCGCTCTACGACGGACAGGTCCAGAGTCGAGCGCTCCAACTTCTACACCACCTCTGGTCTACGACATACAGTCCCAGAGCTGAGCGCTACAACTTCTACACCGCCACTGCTCTACGACAGACAGGTCCAGAGCCGGGCGCTCTTACTTCTACACCACCACTGCTCTACGACAGACAGGTCCACAACCGAGCGTTTTTACTTCTACACCACCACTGCTCCATGACAGACAGGTCCAGAGACGAGCGCTCCAACTTCTACAACACCACCGCTCCACGACAGACAGGCCCAGAGCCGAGCGCTCCAACTTCTACACCACCACCGCTCCACGACAGACAGGCCAGAGCCGAGCGCTCCAACTTCCACACCACTTCCTCTCTACGACAGACAGCTAAACTGCAGCTCGGCAGAGCTGTATTTGTTGCTCTGTGCTAATCTCAAGCCGAGTGGACGCAACCGGTGCCTTCACTCACCCAGGGAACTTGGCCTCAGCCATGACCCGCCGCCGACTCTGCAAGAGCGAAAGGGAATGAATAACTGCGAACTGGTCTTAAAGCAGGAATCTCTTTCGCGGTTATAAAACACCTGCTTCGGACGAACTGGCGTGCTTGCGGAGCTTACCTGGACGCGAATTATGCAATATGGAGGCGCGCAAAAGGGGAGAAATATGCGTGAGCGGCTGATCCTATGCTACGCCCATAGTCCTGCGAAGCGCGTCAAACCGCGGCGCGCGGAAGGTATGTGAGAGCAGCTGGCAGCTTCGCTCCTTTTAATATTTTAATCTTCGGGCTGATTGATGGTGTTGGCTCTTCGTTATGAAGCAAATAAACAAGTAGTCTGACTGTCGTTGACTTAGGTCTATGTCCAACGGGCAACATTAATGTTCTGTGGATCAGGCAGTGTCAGCTGTGCTCCTGGGCGCACAATCCATCTAGCTGATCGTTTGAGTTATGTTCGCTGTAACGAAAGCCGCGTCGAGCTTTATGAAATATGAAGATAGCAACTGCCTTTTCTAATGTGGGTTCAACGACGTACGGTATGTTGCACTGGTAAGGGTTGGAGTGTTGATTACTTTTGTCCAAATTCTTTTTTTAAGATGACAAAAGCATTGGTTGAATTTTGCGAGATGGATACATTTTATGTAAAGAACTATGTTGTCATTTTGTTACACAACGCTATCAAAAAGCGACAATGCACTCGCAACAAGATATCAGTATAAGCTGACTTTGCCAAAGCCAGAACTTCTTATTGTTTGATTGGCTTGCATTACGAAATCGAATTTAAATGTTTTGTGAGACTGAGGAGGAACGGTCTAAGGTTTTTTTGTGAGTTTCCTTTTCCAATCTTTCCTTTAAAACTTCTACCTCAGATTGCTGGTTGAGATGACAAAAAAAAATGGAAGAGATTTACACCGAATTGGGACTGAGACCGAATATTCTAGCCATGGGTAAACATGAATAGTACAACCTATCAAGTTTTCAGCACATTTTAGCAATCATTAGCGGCGATGATCTTCGGATCATGATCAACAATCCTCGGATCATGGTCGAAGAGGCCAATTATGTCAACTGGATCAACCCCGCATGCCGCTATGGCAGCACTCAGGAGCACTCTCGGAGGGCTCCTGAATACAAGATTACAAATCGGCAGCATGTACTTCCCGTTGCCAGAATGCCATAGCCAGGATTATATGGCAATTGATTTTGCATCATGACACTGAATTGTGGTCAAAAGAGACGTATTATGTTTCACTTCGGGCTCGTCCAGCGTGGCTACTTAAAGCAACATAACTAGATTGAAAACACATTTTTTCACGTTATTTTAGCAAGTATCTTGAATGTACATTGCATGACTCTTAAAGCGTCGGAGTGCGTGCACAAATACGTCACTTTGAGCCTTTTGGCCTAACTGGAAAAGCCCATCCCTATCTTTCATAGATATTCGTCCGTTGTGTATCTACCACAACTCTTTACGTGGGATAATGTATCGCCGCGCCTGCGTTACCCCCCCCCCCCCCCCCCGGGTATGTGCACAAATACGTCACTTTGAGCCTTTTGGTCTTACTGGAAAAGCTCATCTTTGTCTCTCATTGATATTTGTCCGTCGTGTATTTACCACAATTCTCCACGCGGGATAATGTATGGCAGCGCCTGCATTGTCCCCCCCCCCCCCCCCCCCCCAGTAGCCTAGACACTATCGTCGGCGGACGCTAGGCCAAAAGAACACCGCTCTCACCGAAGCTCTCACAGCCTTCGCGCTCACCTCACCTCACTTCTTCCGCAGGTCAACGAGGCGTTCGAGATGCTGAAGAAGCGCACGTGCGCCAACCCGAACCAGCGGTATCCGAAGGTGGAGATCCTGCGCGCGGCCATCGAGTACATCGAGGCGCTGGAGGAGATGCTGCGAGGCGCGCGCGGTGGCTCGGGCGCCGCCTCGCAGCCGGAGGAGCCTCGGCCCGAGGCGCCCATCAACCCGGCCGCCAGCTACGGCATGGTGAGCGAGGCGAGCCGTGGTGGGGCGAGACTGACTCGTGCAGCGGGGAGAAGCCGCTCACCGGCGGCGTACTGCCCGACACGTGAGCGTACGCACGCAGCTGCGTGGCGCATGCACACGAGCACGTTTACTGGCTCATAGGGGTACGCCTCCTCCCCCCTCCATATAAGACGTGTTACGTGCTTTAATATGCGCGTAAATACATGTTGTCCATGAAGAAGTTGGGAGGTAAGTAAGATTAAACAAATCGAAAACATGTGATGGTGTTCTGCGCCATGCAAGACATTTTGCGAGCCTGCGGCTCGCTAACATGGGTTTTCAATGGCAATTTTAAGTTGTGCCCCCCCCCCCCTCCCCCCTATCACCAGTGCAAGCTCCAGGCCGGGGACGCTTCCCAAGCACGACGGTTCTAATGCTCCAGCCGGTGATGGCAGCTGAGTGGTGTGTTCCTCTCATTCCGGTCCTCAGTCGGCGACCTTTTATCACAGGTGCCAGCAGGGTGGGCCTCAGTCGGCCACCTTTTATCCTCACAGTCACACAGCGCACAGTCTGGAAATGTATCGGCAGGCCGAGTTGATGCTTGTGGCTTTCTCACAAGACAAAAATGGCGGAAATCTTCAAACCCAAACGAACCAAACGTGGGCGATTTCAATGCCGATGGCAACCACTTTCCTAGTCACGAACTCAGCGGCATCCATACGGCCCACGTCATCCCGTGTCTTGTTCAGCATGTGCTGGGTCAGGTGTTCATACCGTGTGTCCCACAATTATATGCCACATTTTAAATGTTAATGTTGTTTCTTTATATCAAGGAAAGAAATGAAATCGGCACGCATTGAAAACGCATTATATGCCATTTTTATTGCAAGAATAGAACAACCAACTACCAGCAAAGCGCCATGTAGTGTTAGTAGTAAATACGTGCTTAGAATGCCCTGTTTTTTGCACCAGGCACACTTTAATGTTGAGGAAAGCCTCACGCACCATCCTGCGACACATCCCCCTTACTCTCGTGAGCGGGATTCTTGATCTCGTCATTGAGCTCTTCCGAGCTCTTCTGTGCTTATATGTAGATGCGAGCGTTAAAATATCCTCGTAGGGAGAAATCTAGGGGTAAGGTCCCAGGATTGCACGGTCCAGCTTTTGGTGCTCCTCCTGGAGACGGTGTTCTCATGTGTGGGCTCGCTGTGCGGGTTCTGGGCGAAAAGCGGGCCGGCGATGCCCTACTCTCTGAGTGTGCACCAGTCAGTTACCCTAGGCGACTGATGAGGAGCTTCACGAACCTCGTCCGGCAGAACTTGACACCAGAACCGATGGATCCGATGGCCAACTCGGCCGTTCAGGTGAAAACGAATCTCCTTCGAAACCAGATGTCGCCGATGATGTCCTCGGACAAGACCAAATTATGCTTCAGTCAGCCACAGACGATATTCCGCTCCTAACTTCTAACTTCTGCTTCTTCTACTTCAGTCGGCCGCAGAAGGCATTCCGCGCCTACTGGTCAGCATATGTCTTCTTTTGACGGACAGGGATCTTGTGAGGAGTGAGACCCAGAACACTCTTGGGTATCCGGTGCGTTGTAGTTGAACTCACGTGCGTTTCATGAGTACTACGCCGCGCCAAAATTCTGACGTCTGGAAGTGTAGAGTTTCCACGCTTTTGACCTCAGACAGTTTGACGGTACTGGAATTGTGACTATGGCCCGCTTTCTTCTCTCTCCTGGTTGTGGAATATTCTCTAGACAAAAATAATTTTCGATGGTCCTCAAAAGTGCATTTCCTATCTGAGCAGTCCGAGTTGTAATTTTTTTAAAAAATATGTGCAACGTCAACGTGACTTAATTAGTTTCGCAGTGACGAGGAGCGACCTTACGTAGTTCAGCCGTGCCTAACTGATTCGTAATTCAGAGTGACGAATATGAATAAGACAAAACTTCAGGTAGTTATTCATCAAGTGCAGCTAAGAAGGTGGCATTGCTGCAATGCTGGCTGTTTATTTTACACCGAAGCGTGATACATAATTATGGAACACGCTGTACAAGCGCCGCAAATACCCAACCCCACGCGTCAGTCAATGGAGCGTGCCGGGTAGCCGCTGATTGGTGCCGACAGAAAGGCTGCTGGGCCACGAGTGGGCATGTGGCGATGTCACTCAGGGCCGCTTCATTTCCGTGACAGCACGATCCTCTGCCGGTGCGGTAATCACTGGCGGATTAGCCTCTGCCAATGGGTGCACGCGCCGCCGCGTCCCAGTCCGTGGTGGCACTCTCATGCGTGTTTCATGTGTGTACCGACTGAGGCGTCAAGAGCATACTCATGTGCAGATCAGTGTCCCTTAAAAACGGATTAAGGGGACTGGGTCGAGGATGAAACACCTGTGCTGAGTCCGGTGTGCTATTTCCTGAAACTGGTTGTTCCCGACACTTCATTTTCACGATAAACACACACACACACACACACACACACACACACACACACACACACACACACACACACACACACACACACACACACACACACACACACACACACACACACACACACACACACACACACACACACACACACACACACACACACACACACACACACACACACACACACACACACACACACACACACACACACACACACACACACACACACACACACACACACACACACACACACACACACACACACACACACACACACACACACACACACGCACACACACACACACACACACACACACACACACACACACACACACACACACACACACACACACACACACACACACACACACACGCGCGCGCGCGCGCGCGCACATATATATATATATATATATATATATATATATATATATATATATATATATATGGCATGCCATAAGGCAGAAGAAGTGAAACGTACGATGCAATTTAGCATAGGGCTCGTGTTCGTAGCTCACATTGGCTTGCGTTCCACTTGAGCATGTCACTCGGGCTACATCTTGAAGACTGTGCTTTGTCGATTAAACGCATTGCAAGCGACGCAGTGTCTACCGCAGGCTTCGCTGCCTTAACCTTTGCACAGCACTTGCTTTGGGTTATGTGCCTCGGACTTCTTACGGCACATTGGGGATAGGTTTTATTTCGTACCATACACTTTATATCACTCCTCGAGTGCCTAGATGTCAGAACCGTAGCATTGTCCATGTTCCATGAATCGTCTAACATATGTCCTCAAAATGATGGGCCACGCAGCAAGCAAGTGATGGATGTTCAACCCCGTGCTGCAACTCAGAGCTGCTGAGGCGTTGCTGAGTCTGTCCCGCGTCGCGTCGACGCGGGATAACAGGGGACGAGCGCGTCAGATTGGTGCGCGGCAGCGGCCCGGCTGCCGGTCCTGGGAGGGCCCGCCGTGCGTGTGCGTCAGATCGGCGCGCGGCAGCGGCCCGGCTGCCGGTCCTGGGAGGGCCCGCCGTGCGTGTGCGTTAGATCGGCGCGCGGCCGCCGGTCCCGGGGGGACCCGCCGCGTGCGCGTGTGTGGCCCGACCGCGCCAGCCCGTCCCGCACGCCTGACCGCCAGGCAGAGTAACACAGGCCGCAGAAAAACGGGCCGCCGTTCTGAGGACGGGACCACCGCGGGCGGCAGGCCGGCCGTCAGCGGCCGCGCCGGGGGCGCAATATCGGCCCCAGCGACGAGGGCAGGGCGCGGAGGGACGGCCAGGTGCGGAAGAGGGGAGGAGCGCCGTCCAAGGAGGCGGATACGTGGATGAGGGAGGTTAGGTGCCTCAGTACGATAAGGAACATTTGAGCCTTGGATGGTTTTGATTTAAGACACACACCGTTAATGGCTTGTGTTTAAGTAGTGTGGTTGTGAAAGGATGCACTGTTCCACTTTTAATGGATCGGGGCAGATAAGGGAGAGATGAAATGGATCAATATTTTGTTTCCATTTATGTGTGGTGCAGGATATATTTGCTAATGTTTAACTGGCAGATGATGCGCTTGCGGTGATCCTGCTTATACCGAATAATTCAAAAAGGCATGGTTGAAGAATAGGATATATCACAAGTGGTAGCAACCGCTTCCATTTCATCAAAATAAACACATTTGCAGTATTCTGATACTTAAAAATGTTTGGGAAGCTTTGCTGTACCAACCTTTTCCAACAATCTTCGCTTATGCAAGTCTATACAAATGGCCCGCCGTATTTGAGATTTGGGACGCGCCGTTTGTTGCATCCAGATGCGGACGAACGGAAGCGCCTCGATCTAGCTCAGGCTAGGCTCGAGTTAACGCAGACACCAGACCCTTTCTCATGCCTCCCCAGCTCTCCCTCGTATTTACCGAGGAAAACTCACAGGCCAGTCTCGGCAAAAAACCACCGCAAAAACTGCTTTGAAAATACACTTTGGTAATGAAGACAGCTACTTAAACTGCAATCCGTCACGTCATAAAGCCTCCACTGTGACAGACAAAGGGGTAAAAAACGGTCACGCATGATGAGCGAACTTTGTTACAAGCTCGGGCCGTCTGAAGGCCGTAACAGCTGGGCGAGAGGCGCCGGCGAGAGCTGCTAACACCCTGTGGGAATGCCGCCCACGACCCTCGCGCGTCAAAGGAGGCGTCATGGGCGGACAACCGAAGATTGAGCGGCTAGTGTCAAGTGCTGCGACCGCTGTCGTCGCGTGATGGTGATTATTATAGTGATAACCATAGTTGCTTCAGATTGTTACCGCCAGAACCTTTAAAGTACAACGTGCAAGTCAGTTATTGATTGTAAATGCTTGCTAACTGCCACCTGCATCGGACAGCACAAATGGTGATGTGAAAGCAAACCCAACACTGGCTTTTCAACTGGGATCGGCCCTGGTCTCTAACGCGTCGTGTTCAGGCTGGAATGGCAACACCAGAGGAGTGTACTCCGTCGGAGAAGCTAGCAGTTCTGCATAGTAACACCATTGGACCGCGGATGGTTGACCCCGTGCCTTCTCCCCACCTGATGTAAGCTACTGCCACTAACTGCTGCCCA